GAAAATTTACTTAAAATTGAACACATGGAATTTTCTTATCACCACATGTGTATCACAGATAGGTCTGGCCGACAGAAAAGCTTGACCCACGAAAAGCTTGACTTACAGAACAACGATAGAACGACAGTTGTTTCAACTTGTGTCACAAACGACTCATTGTGATAAGTGAGTATAAATTTGAACCATAGTCACACTCTAAAACCGATTCAGGCATCCGCGACGTCAAACAACCTGAGGATGCGGGTTAATAATTGATACAGACATCATCCGATTTTACAAAATTTGTTAATTGATGAGTTAATGAAAAATTTACTAAAAATTACATAAATAAAATGGAAAAGTTTGGCTCACGGAACAGCCTGACCTATGAAACGGCCCGGTCTACAGAAGTTCTCTGTATCACAGAAGGATCCTGTACCACTGAAGAGCCTGTGCTACAGAAGAGCCTGAGAGCGATGAGTCTCGAGCCGAGGACTTAAGCATTATTAATAGATCCATGTGAAAGAATATCTAATTGTTTTCTAATAGCTTATTACATCTATCTAAGAGCGAATTATATTTCGTCCTCCCCTCCAAACAATCGAGGAAGAAAAGGAGAGGATAGCATTTAAAAAAAACAAGAACAGTAATAGGAACTGATACGTGTGCAACGACACGGAATAAATGAATAATATTGTTTAAAATAAATCATTACCTATTTCATTATCATTTTCTATTTTAATTAAAAAATATTAGCTTATAATTTCTCGTTCGGTCTGATCTTCATTTGTTAAGTATTAAGTTATAAACAAATGGATATCTGGGACGAATAAATCGCTATCATTATCATTTCTGGTTTAATTAATAAATACCAGTATATACTTTCATTTCCGTCTAATCTTTTTTCATCAAATTTAACCCTCAAATGGCACACCTGTGAGAACTCGCACCACGACACGGGATCTGGTCACAGAAGAAAAGAGCGTCCAACGAAGTGATCGCGCCATCTTGCAGTACGAGCGACCACGCTCGCAGAACCTGCAATCCTCATTTTGGCTTGACTTTCTGGGAAAAGACGACACTCGCCTAAGGAGGAAAGAGTGGACTGAGACTAAAATTGTCTGTACAAACTGTTTTACCTCCTACCATAATTAACTTTGTCGACAAATCTATAGCCAAATGCAGACATTGATATCTATGGTTTTGCAATCAATGGCTGTGTTCTAAAGTTTACTGCCAGTACCGATAATCTATAGTTTACATCATGTGCACTATAGATTTTCAGTTTTATGTCGTCTTCCATTTTTATTCTCCTTATTCTTTGATCATATGTGTATTTAAAACAATAATTCGTTTATGTATTTCTTAAAATCATTAAAAAATTTTTTCGTACAAGTGACCTTTTATAATAAGCAAATAGAATTTGTTTTAATTTAGTAATCTTCATTCAAGTATTGAACTTACTAGGATTCAGAATATAATTTAAATAATTTAAATTAAAAATCTCGAGCCATCGAGCATCTTAATACAGGTATTGTAAAGAGCTCTCTCTACAATTTTATAAATTCAATATAATTTAATTTAATTAATCAAGCCCAAGATCTCGTAATGTCAAATAATAATATTCTACATGTTTCAACTGTAACGTAATATTAAGAACTATATTATTCAAATTTAATTACGATAGGTGTATTATATGTCTAGATTTACCCTTTTTTTACAATTTCTATAACTGATTTTTATGTCTCATCTATTACTTTTATTGAAGAAATTTGATGCTTGTGACGAATTTATACAGTCAGAAGAACCGTTCTTTTCATGTATACGTAAGATATAAAATATCGAAAAATGCTGTCAGTCTATGAGAATCTTTTAGGATACTTGTATTATGATATTCAAAGTCTCGAGATTTTTATTCTGTCCGTTAGACCTTATTTTTAGTTCCTCAAAAGAGGAATCCTCGGCTTCCTTCCACCCTGCTTTTATTTTTTTCTTCACTCTCTTTTCTTCTTTTCTTTCGCCAGTTACTTTGTTTCGTTTTGTCGAGTTTTTTTCTGTCTTTTCTTTCTCCTTTTGTTGTACCTTTTCTGCTTTTTTTCGCTTTTTCTCGCGTACTTTTTCTTTCTTCGACTTCTGCACCTCTTGAACCACCGACATCTTCAGCACTGTTGTTGGTCACTTAGACACGGCGTGATTGCACGACGATGCCGACGTTGTAACAGCAGATATGCTTCTTGAGCTTAGCGGCATATCCATCAGCATCACAATCTTATGAGTACATCTGTAAACGCGTCGATTTCGTTACAAATCTATCCTTTGGCTGATGGCTGAAATTGATGATTGCAAAGGTATCTAATTCTAGTGAAGGCTTTACTAGCAGAACTATCTTTCTAGAACTCTCTGATTGGTGGCAATCGGCGTTCCCGTTTCTTCTGCAAGTTCTCCTCCTCTTCAGGGATTTGTTGAATAGGATTTTGGTATGACCAAATTTTCATAAATTGTTTATTCCGCCGATTTACGTACATGAAAAAAAAAGAAACGGTTTTACTGAAGTATAGTCTAAACATTTAGCGAAGTATATCTTATATACATCCGATAATAATTTTATTTCAAAATTAGAACGTCAAATTAGAATGTCAATATTTTATGCAACATTGCACATCCTGTTTAATTTGTGTAAAATTATTTTATTGGTTTAATCAACTTGTTTTTAGATCTGTATCTAGGTAAATTTTTAAATAGTTCAGCAAAATTCTTCTTTCTATGTTCTCTAAAAAATTTATTTTAAATAATACATTTTCAAAATCAGACTGTCATAATGTTACTTTAAATAAAAGATATGACATGTATTTTATATCGAATATATAAGCTACTAACCTGCATTCGCATTTTCATCGATTGCGTCTGATAACGTCTGAGAGTGCCTGTGTTTGCCATATCCTCGCCACCCTCATCAGTTTGTTGAGAGAAGTGCTATGCACGGCCGAGGAAGTTGCCAAGGAACGGAAGACACTCCTATGCGAATGAATTGAAATTCGAAACATTATAGTATATTTAATACCTCCATAGTAATTTGCATATTATTAGCAATTTACGAAGATCATTACAAACTAGAAATTGAGGACAAACCGCTGACTATTGAATATAAAGAGGCAGAGACTGATACACTTCCGGTAGTTCCGGTTTCCCATGTGCTAGTAGGTCCAGACACACCGGCGGTAACTCCTGTTCCCATGTTATACTTTGATTCCTTACGGAAAAAAAACTATTAGTGCATAGTAGTCAAAGACAATGGACTGCGCGATCCGTGTCAAAATGGTCGATAGGGATGAGAGAGAAGGACCGTGGCAGATTTCTATCTCTCGCGGCCATTTCTATCTCTTTCCATTCAATGGTGTAATGGGAGAGAGAATGAGAGGGGATTGGCCGTCTTCCACTGAACTATACTACTGGAAAGCGCTCTGCACAGAACATATACAGGAGAAGCGCAAGTCCTGTATTAAAAGATGGCAACAAGAAACGATCGCCACGCTCCTAGTGGCCTGGCCGACATACTACCATGGTGG